TTAACAACAAATGTAAAGTGGGCGTGCCGGCGCCCCAAGATACTCGGATAAAGTGCAACCGTTCATTAGCAGCCGTAAACAAATGAAGCGAATACAACGAAGGAAGCAAAGCAAATAAACGTGGTTCGTGGTCTCGCTGGTCAAATGCCAGCTCTCTGGCACTGCAATTACAAAATTATCATTGCTTTAAAGGTATTCTCAATTTTAATACTTTTAATGGATGCCTCTCGTTCCCCGACTGCCAGCAATTGGAACAAATGTGTAATTGTTTAGCAAATGTTTAGAGTCAGCTCTGCCTCAGATAATACAAGTTTATGGCACAACTAAATCTATATGAATACTTCATTTGGGAATTCGAATTGGCACTCGTAGTTAAGTTTCTGGTTCATTGGAGCAACTTTTGTTTGTTATTCACGAGTTCGACTTAATGAACAACTACGAACTATGTCAATATGTCGAAATGTATGTGAGTTTATATATTATATATTATATATTATATATTATATATTATATATTATATATTATATATTATATAAATTATATATCACAAAACAAGAAACAAGCTTGTAACTATCGCCTTCGTATATGAACTCATTAAGTTAAAATTGGACTTTCTAATTTTTGATTTGTTTAGGTGTATATAGAAATATGTACCTAGATCAATTACACTATCCATTGTAAAGATGATTTCGTGTCGCCTTCCTCTGCACTTCTCATGAATTCAAGTAAGACCTACAGCCATTAAACCTTCGTCAAGTGAGGTAGATGACAGATGTAAAATGAATTTGTAATTATGTAATTAATTATGATTATAATAATATAATAATTATAATAATTAAATTATTCACTTCAAATCTGAGTCTAAAAAAATATTATTTATTGCTTCTAAAATATGTTTATGTTTGATTTACAAGCTAATGTGACCTTAAGAGCACTTTTGAGCCAACTCTACTTTTGGCAATGCACTAAACTAACTTCTCTGTTCGTGCAAATTCTAAGCCCAAGCAGTAATCCACCTGCTTTATAGCAATATTAGCAGAAGTTTCGCACAGTAACAATTCATGCGCAAGGCTTTGGTCCAAGTGTTCATTACAGCAATGAAGCCGAAATTACTAATTCATTAATTGAAACCCGGTGGTCAGCTCCAGCTGTCGTTGTCCACTCACTCGACTTCTCTCTCTCCCTCTCGCTGTTTGTCTCTTACTCCATCTGCCTCTCCCTTGCACGCTCTGCTCATGTTTCTATGCTTCTGACCATGTCCATCCACGTGCTGCAGATGCCAACGGTAAAACGGAAAGTGCCGTGTGCCATTTTATGAAGTGTTTGCTGTTCGGGGTCCAGGACAACACTTACGCTTGCCGAACTACAAAATGCTCCCCAGTTAATAATTTCGAAGTGTGTGTGAGTATGTGTGTGAAATCAAATGTTGAGTGCTGTTGTGCGTGCGTATCTATAAGATACTTTAGCTGAGTTTTGCTCTGCTTTCACGTTAAGAACGATGGGCTTGTTGATTTGCTGCAAGCTTTCCTAGAGTCACTTTTACTCTGCCTAGCAAGACATAAATTAAACGTAATCCAATGAATTGAAAAGCCTTTGAAGCTTGCTCTTGCTGAAGTCTCCATATCTCTCGCCCTCTCTTTCTCTGCCTCTCCTTGTCTACTCGAACGCTTTATGTAAGCTCCATTTCATGCCAGCTCTTTTTTGCCACTGGCCGCCAAAAGCATATGTGAAATTTTTGCACTTTGGCCGCTTTTACACTTTGCAGATACTTTTTTTGGCGACTGTTAGGACGGACATTTGTCCGTATTGCAGGTGCAGCTAGCGACGCGGCAGCCTCGTTTGTTTGTTGTTGTCTGGTCGCTTGTTATGTCTATGAATATGAATTATGGAAATTGCACAACAACGGCTAGCAAAGCGTATGACAAGGACAACAGCCAACAGCCAACAGTCGCCCAGGATGCAGGACACAATTACAGCTACAAGCGCTCGTTGCTCGCTCTTCCCACACTCTTCTTCTTCTGTTTTTTATTTTCGGACGAGATTTTTATGGAGGTCGTTGGTACAGTGACCAAATTTTTGTGGGCGCCAGCAAATTGACACACAATTTGTGCTAGAGCAAAGCAACTAAAATGCAAGCTGCGAATTCCATTCGAGACTTATCCATAATCCATTTAAGAATGTCCCATAAACTACATTAATCATTCAGTGGCAAATCAGAGTAAACAAAAAGAACGACGAAATTATGCGATAAAATGGAATTTGCGCTGCCCGCGGTCACGCCCCCGCCACATTTGCCCAGCCAGCCGACATTTACATTTAATGCTTGCAAATTTAACAAATAATATTCAATTAACAATTTGAATATGAATTTATTACAGGGGCCAGTCCGAACGGGGGCCGGCCCGCTTTTTAAAGTGGTAACAAGTCCGAGACATCGAAACAGAGGGCTAACACGGTGCTAGCTGCTGACTGGACAGAGCCGGGCGAGGGGTGTCCAACGAGCTGCCGGCCAAGTGGCCGACTTGTTTGCCCAGCCGGTGGCAACAACAGCCGAAGACGGACTAAGCCAGCCAAACGAAAGCGAACAACTCGAAAAAAAAACAACAACTGAAAAGTTATGTGAAAAAGGTGGGAAAATGCAAGCATTGTTAGTCTTTAGCTCAGCAGCAGCAACAGCAGCAGCAGCAGCAACTATAACAGCAGCAGTGCTTAAAGGTAACGATGCATGCAACATTGACGCTGCCTCCGCTGCCACTAACGGAAGCCGCGCAGGAAGCACAAGGAGCACGAGCACAATTCCTGGCGGCCGCACATTTCAATAATTATTAACTGCAACATGCAACATGGAGCAGCCGCGACACACACGCACACCACACCACAGCACAGCACAGCACAGTCTGGGCAGCGTGCGACGTGCAACATGCAGCACAGTAGCCGCTGCCACAATCCGTATGCGATTCTGGACCTCGGACGCGGCCGCGCCTGCAATTATCAAAACTTGTCCAAATTGACATTTTTTGTGTTTTTGTTGCAGTTGCTGCTGCTGCTGCTGCTGCTGCTATTGTTGTTGCTGTTGCTGTTGCCAGGCGAACCGCGTCGTCGTGCAACGGGCTGCACGGCCATTGGCATTTGGCACGTTTTGGATTTTGAAATGCAAACACGGCATTTAATTCTATTAGGCCCGCAATTTAATTATCTCTTTGGGGGAAAATGTCATGTTCAATGTCAGCAGCATTGCGAATGCAAGCCACGCCCCCCACATGAAAGCGCCCCTCGCACACAGGGCAATTCGAACTCTGTTGAAACGAGTGAGAAATGACAGCGAAATTATGAGATTTTACCTGTGCGGCAAAAAAATCAAATGTTTATTATTATAGTGTAGATTAAGCTGATAGAAGGTGGAATAGATTGGCAGGGCATGAGAAGAGAGAGAGGGAGAGCAATTGTAAATGGAATAGAACAGTAGATTATATGTATATACTATATAAATTTTAGTCAGAATCGTTTATTAAATTTTGTGCTGATATTTGTTTACCAAGTGAAGGGAATTTGATTGTAAAAGTAAATGTTATAAAATAAAAATGTTGAATTTAATAATGTTAGATGAATGTGGATTGAAATTCATTTCATTTTATAGACATAGTTAATAAATCTATCAAATTACAGTTCAGTAGGAAAGAAGCTTTTATGCCTTGAAATATCATTAAACATCATCATCAAAATGTCATAGCGCCAATATATATACTTTATATATATGCAAACATAACAAATCTAGCTATACTTTCAGCAATATTTTTGCTATGATATCTCTAGCATATATTCGTAATCAAATTTATATATTTACAGCTCAGCTAAAGCTTCAAGCTGTAGCCTAGTAATCTATCAAAATAATATTATTTGCTATATAATTGATTGCAATAATCCAGATCGAAATTAACAGATCGTTTCGCTGAGTCAACCTTCTTATAAAGCCCACACTTGGCCAAAGTGGTAGTTCTTCACGGTGGCAGCCAGCTTGCCAGCTTCAATCTATATCTTGCATCTTATCTAGCACTAGACCAAGTGCCAAGTGCCAAAAGAGCTGCCCACCGCATCGAAAATGATCAGGGAAAAAGAGATTCTCTAGAGATGCAAACGCTCACGCTCGAGCTAGCTGCCCACTTGCTGTGTCTGTGGCAATATTTAGCTACCGATTTGCACGAGATAATCAATTGAATATAGTCAATAATAAGCAGAGGTGCAGCCGAAAGGGGAACAAAGGGGCTGGGGCTTGAGTCTGGGTGGCGCATCTTGGTAATTTTGCGCCTCAATGCATGCCTTCTGCCGGCGATTCCTGTAATTTGAGTGGAGAGGCAAACAAGCGCTGATCAGCCGGGCAGCTTTACAGTCTCTCAGTTGCGCATTCTGTCAGTCTGCCAGTCTGTCAGTCTGTCAGTGGGGCAGTCTGTGCGTGTAATTGGATTTTAAGAAGTAGCTGCTTACAGTCGTCGACGCGCTGATTGATAACCTGGCAACGCAAAAGGTTTCGCCGCGCAGCAGGCTGCAGATGCAACGCCTCCAATGGCTGTTGGCTCCAACGACTGAAGTTGCCGATGGCCGAGGCAGTTTGAGCTTCGGCTGCAACGTGTGGCTGCTACTTGACTCTGTTTAATGTTAACATTAATTGCACTGCCGTTGCGTGTTGCCAGCCAGCATTTGGTCTAATCAGCTCGTCAGAGCCGCATGAAGTCGTGTAATCAATCATTTCCACACGGGCTGGGGCTGGCGCATTTGCGTTAACATTTGACGCCTAAGAGAAATTCTGCAAGCTCATATTTTGCAGGCCTTTGACGCCCTTCGATGGTTACCTAGAGAGTGTGGGGCCAACACCTTGTGCTAATTTCTAACTAATTTGAGGTATTAGTATGCAAGTTCTACGGTTTTAGACTAGAGCTTAACCAGTTTCCTTTGCGAAATAAATTTAAAATATAAACGAAATAAAAATGTGGAAATTTTCTTACCCATGTCTGTTGATATGCCGCCGTATTGTGTTAAATCAGATCTTATCTTACCTGAAAATGCAGAAGACCAGAGAAGAGAAACGTTTAAAAAATGTTAAAAAATTGTTCAACGCTCCACCAGCCGCAGCAGCTCCATGCCACCGCCACAGCAGGCGGCATGGAGCGGGCAGGGGCTGAGCGTTGCATGAGGCATTAACGCTTAAGCAGCCGCACGTGTGGTGCAGGCCACTCGAGTAAATTGAAACTAAGCATTGTTGTTGTTGCGGTTATTGCGGTTGCCAGCGAGGAAGGTGGCTTGGTGGTGCTGAATCTAAGTATAGGCTAAACAGTAGCCGATTAAAGTGTTCTTTTGATCTCTAACCTATGCTACTGATCATATGAGCAGTGCAAGACAAGACTTGTTAACTTAGCTTTCGATTGCCATCACACAAAGTAACTATGAAAGAGAGCTAAAATCTTAGCTATTTTAGTTAAAGGTGGAGTAGATTGAATGAAAGTGGCATTAAAGTGAATTAATAAAGTTTTATCTACCGAATTTATTCTGATGATCTATTAAACAGGCCACAATTGAACTCGAACTCCCAGCTAATTTCCTTGTTACGGCTTAATTTCTTCAAGAAACTTGCATTGCTTTTCAATATCTCTAGTGCTTGAACTACATGTTAGACCACTTGACATTTCGTCTGACACTAGAAGAGCCATTTCTATAAGCTCTGACCCAGCCCACTCGCAGGAGCCTCACTACCCTTCTACTGGCCATGCGCCAACGGGACGTTGGCACATCTCCGCCTCCTTCTGCAGAGGCAGAAGCCTCTGCTTCTCGTTCGCCTTCTCCATCTCTGTCTCGTGTATCTATTTTTTATATTTTTTCACAATTTTTAACGCCGTTTGTTTGTTTACGCCGTGAAAGTGCAAAATGTAAACAATCAAAATGCCAACGTGTTGGATGGGAGTAGTTGGGGCCTGGAGGGGTGCTTGGAGTCATTGAAGGTGGCACGGCAAAAAGGTAAAGTATAAAAATATGATTTAATGGCAGCGATAAAACACGTGTGTATTTAAATATGCGCGCCTGGCGCCTGAGTAAACGTAATTTCCAGCTGAAGAGCATACAGTCGGAGAGAGGGAAAGAGATGCAGCAATAGAACAGCTGGGCGAGAGCGAGAGACCGTTGCAGACACAGTCGGACAGCCAGATGCAGACAGCAGACACAGCGCTCAAAAAGAAACAACAAAGAAAAATATTAAATTAAAAAGAAGAAGGAGACACAACTATGAGGGGGCAGCAGAGAAGGGGGCTGTGCACAGGGGCGCCAGCTAAAAGTAAACGAAAAATTTGACAAACGTTATTTTTGCAGCAGCAGCAATGAAAATTATGAAAATGCTATCAGAAAAAGTAAGAGAGCTAGTGAAAAAAGGGGACGAAAAAAGGGGCAGCCACTTTAGACAAATTCAAACAAATGGTTGGCGGCTCGCCGTAGCGTCGACAGACAGGAGTCTGTGGGGTAAAAGAGAAGGGGTGAGCGAGAGAGAGGAGTGAGGGGGAAAAAGTGTTTATAAAAATTAAACATTTAGTTTGCGGCTTGAGCTGGCAAGCAGTTCGTCAAGTGCAACACCCCAAGCTCCGCGCCTGCTGGGTGTTTTGTGTTTTCACACCTCGCGCAGTTAGCTGATTTTTATGACTCTTTAAAAGCGGCGCACGCTCTTGACAAATACCCAGCCGCATAAATGAGCTAGCTCAAGAGAGAAAGCCACACAGCGACAGAGAGAAACAGAGAGAGAAAGAGAGGCTGAATTTGTTTGCAAGATCTTCACGCATTTATTGCCCCATCAAAGGCGCTGATATAAATCTTAATTGCCGACCCAAATAAATAGCTGGCACATTGAGCCAGACACATGTCAGAGCAGCCATGGCATATATACTATATCATATCGTATCATGGCAGAGCAGAGCTACTGCTCTAAGTTTAAAGCCGTTGCCAACTATTTGGTTGGACTCTCTTCGCTTTCGTGGAGAAAACTCGTTAGCTATTTAGCATAAACACTTTCCAGCCATGCGACAAGTTTGACCAGCAACTGATAAGAACTAAAACAACAACAACCACAACAAGAGGCAAACAAGTTGCAACGAAAGAAGTCATTAAGGAAACATTAAATTGACATTAATGTTGTAAGGCGGCGGCGGAGGCGGAGGCGGAGACGAAGGTCCCGCTGGTCAGACTACGAAGGTGGAGACTCGTTGGACACCGAGGCGCCAGGGGCAGGTTCTTAGGGTCTTGAGTTCAATGTACGGCTGTAAATCAAAATATTTGGTCTATAACTCACGCTGGCCAGAAGTCGCATATAGCACATCGATTTGCTTTTACCAAATATTTAAACTGGTATAACAGTTACCCAGTTTTGCATGTCGCACTCGTAAATCACAGATTGGAGACTCGGCAAACAGACAAGGCTACTGTTCACGTTGAGCGAAAGAGTGCCAATGGGCTAGCAGGAGCAATTGGTGGCTAGAAAATGCTCTTGCCCAGAAATGCATGGAGAATTGGGTATCGAAAAGGAATTGAAAAATTTGTATAAATAAATTTTTTCTTAATTTAAATAAAATAAGTTTATTTATAATTAATTTTAATAAAATAATTATTTAAAGAATATTAAAGCAAAGACTATTAAATAATACATAGTATTTAAAAAATTAAAAATTTCTGACAGAAATCCAAAGAAACTTTTTGATTGCATCATAATATTTGTCATATTGTTAATAATTTTTATTTCTTTTCTAGACTTTTCTAACTTTTTCAATTCTCCCGTTGAACCCTTACATATTTCCATATAAGCCAGCTGTTATTTTTATAAATGAAAAATAAATATAATTTATGCCATAGGCAAATATAGATGATTCGCATGGCTGGTTGTGTATGAAGTCTAATCTAATGTGATCTGCAACCCTTTATTCCAAATATATTCAAAGATAGTTCGTTTCACAGTGTGTATGTGCGTGATTCACTAACTAGTTAGCTTGTACTAAGTCTCACATAGTTTTGGTCTTTTGGTCTACAGCCTCAAGGCAGTCACTGCATAATTGTGAACCCATAAATCTTTGTCTCTTTTGTTTTCGAGATTTCTATCTTAATTGAAGCTCATTAAAATATGCGTTTCCTACGTTTCCAACATAGTTAAACGCAACTTGTGTTACCTTAGCTAGCTGCTGGCTGCTGGCTGCTGGCTGCTGGCTGCTGTCTGATCGGGCTCAGCTAAGCACATTTATAGCATCCACTATATGCCCATTCATGGAGTTCGAATCGAACTGATGTATCCGATCGTATTCAAATGGCGACCTGGCTGGAGATCGAGTTCGGACTGTGCTTTTGCACTTGAGCAGCAGCAGCTGCTGCTGAGGCTGCCGCGGCTGCTTGGTGGCTGGTGGCTGGTGGCTGGAGATCAGATCGCAATCAGCGTCCAAGCCAACACAAATCCAATCCGATCTCGGTGAGGGCCCACCACCAATGAATTATTAATAATAAATAAATCATTATTAAAATCAAAATAATACGCAAATATGCATATTATACGACAGCATGAACACACGCAGACATAGCTACAGATACAGATACTCATACTCAGATACTCGTATTCAGATACAGCACATAGTTGGCCATGTCCAAAACTTCATGGCGTTGGCAACTCGTGTTTCTTTTCATGTTTACGCCACTTTCTCATATGCACACACACACGCAAGCACATACACCTATGGGTATGCGTGTGTGTGTGTATGTGTATACATCTGTGTCTGTACACAAGTGGTTATAATGAATGATTTGTTGTTTTATAATAAACACGCCGAGCGGCGTCGCAGTCAGCGTCGAAACGACGCGTCGCTGCTATGACGTATGTCGGGGACCTGGGCCCGAAGACAATTTCTTCTGTTGGCCACTGCGGCGCTGCCCTTAAAGCTAAGGCAACCCTGCCTGCCTGCCTCTTCCCTTTCTCTCTCTCTCACTATCTCCCTCTCTCTCTCTCTCTTCCCCATCTACAGTTGACCCTTTGGCATGGCGCGTTTTCGATGCAGTTCTGCATGTGAGTGAGTGTGTGTGTGTGCTTCTTACCGGGGCCGTGTTGTTGTTTTTATTAGGTATCAAAAACACCTTAAAACATGATTTTGCAACTGCCAAGAAGCGACCAACGAACAATGGCACAAGACCAAAGAAATCGAGCAAAGGGTTAAATCTCAAATTATGATCAATTAATATATTTTTAAGCCAAATTCAACTATTCTGTATCGATGTTGCGATTACTTTAAAATTTTTATTGAATTGAATAAGAAATTGATACTAAATTTAAATTTATTCAGAAATATTTGAAGTAAATTCAGTATATCAAAAATATAACTTATCTAATAAAGATATATTTAAAATTTATTTATAACTTATTAAGTATAAATTTAATAAAAATTAAATTTTTTTTATATTTATATATTTTTAATATTTCTTCTGTGCGCTGGCTTTCTGTATGTAAACCTTTATTTTCTTTTAATATTTGGCAGAGTAAATCATAAGTAACATTGGAATAAATGATTCTTGTTCTATAAATACAAATTTTGTAATTTAATTTTAGTTTCGTGTTTTTAAATTTAAATGTTGTTCATGGAAATTGCAAGTTGAAACAAAAAAAAAACATAAATAAAATCAAACTATATAAAGTCTCGAAAATGAAAATCAAATAATTTATATGTTTGAAAAGTTTTTTATTTTACTATATATCCAAGTGTAATTTCCGTAAATTTGATTCAGTTTACTTAGAGCTGTGTGCGATTTTTTTTAATTTTTGACTATATTGTTGATTTGTGGCCCACTGTCTGTTTTGGGTTATAACCAAAAATTGCTTCTCGCCCTGCAGTCTTTTTGTCTTATTTTTTTATTATTATTTTCTTTTTTTTCTTTTGGGCCATGTGTCTGGGCCACTTTGCGTTGTCGTCGTCGTCGTTGTCTGTGCTCGAGTCGTTGTCCGAGGGCCGCCAAGGTGCTTATTAAATTCCTTATTTAAAAATACATTAAAAAATGCAAGAAGCTGCCCCAGAACACAGACCAATCCCCGAATGCGGAGAGTCATCTGAGTCAGCTGCTTGCTCGACTCGGCCTCGGACTCTGCCACAGCGTCTGCTGCAGTCGCATCCGCTGCAAGTTGTTAACCAATTTTTCAATTGATTTGATTTGCTTTTGATTTTGATTTTGGTTTTGATTTCGGATTTTTGCAAATGTTGATTAAAAGCGCGCGTTGAAAATGTTTTCCTGTTTCTCTTGCCCTGCTTTACATAATCATCAATGAAACATTTCTGGATGGGGGTGTGTGCCACTTGTGGCCTATTAATTGCATGTTGCCGTTGCAGTTGCAGTTGCAGTTGCAAGTTGCATGAGAGGCAGAATGGTTGCAGTACATTGGCATTTGAACTGCCTGCAAAACGATGTGAGTTATGAGCAAGGGGCAATATTGTTATGCAATGTTGGCCAAAAATGTTGCCAAGCACATTAACCTTGGCTGCCAGGGAATATGAGAATTCGACGTGCCTTTGGCCATTGTACGTGTGAACCACAATTGCGCTGCACTGCAGCTAATTGACATTGAGATTTCCGAGACAGAGAAGACGGCTACGAAAGGTCGATAGGCTGCTGCGTTCATCTACCTAAGCCCCGAGAGACAATGCCCACTGATAATTGCGTTCATTTGGAAGTTGCCCTTAAAATATGAATTATGATTGCAACAGAACGTGTCAATTGCAGGACCTGCTGGCAGAGTCTCAAGGTCATTGTGGGACAAAAAAAATTGAACGAGCAGGCAAACATTTGCGGCTTGTCTTTGCCAATGATATTGATCTTTTTTGTTGTATTTGGCTTCGGCGTGGGCGCTGATACAAGCAACAAAATTAGCCAAACAAATTTAGGCCCCGAGACAGAAACTTACACACACATACGTTGCTGGTTGGCGCATATGAGTGTGTGTGTGTGTGTGTGTGTGTGTGTGCGTGTGCGTGTGGGGCCCAGGCAAATAAAGCAAATTTACGAATTTACGAATTTATGTTGAAATTTATCGATAATGACTTAAAAGCCTTCAGGACAATGATTTAATGGCTCCGCGCTCAACGTGTTCACACATAACACAACAACAACAACAATAACAGCAACAACTGCTCAAGTCAAGCCAGCCAACACAAACACCCAACAGGCCAACAAATCTGAAGTAGGTTCTCAAATCTTAAACCATGTTTAGATACGATAAAAACGGAATTTTTCATTATTTTCTTGCAGTTTTGTATATGTATATATATTTATATGTATATGTAGATGTAGATATATGTTTGTATTGTTTCTCGTTTCAGCTTTGGCGGTCGCTGGAAATGATCGATGATCGCTGGAAGTGTGCGCCGATTTATTTATGGCTTGATTTGGCTTATCCCCCTCGCGAATACTTTTGCGATGGAATCAGTGGCTCTCTCGCCATTACAAATTGTTTCGAGTGTTAAATAAATCACGAGTGTAAACAATTTAGATTCAATATTGATTTAAATCTAGATTTTGAGCGTTGATTCAAACAGCAAATCAATGTTATGATGGGACTGGCAGACTTAAAATATGTTTGAAAAGGTTGCAAAATGATTGAAATGTCGATATAAAAATATCAATGTGACTATTTTCATGTCAAATTTTGGTTATGCAGAAATATTCAATTTTAAATCAATGGGATCAGGGCATAAAAAAGTATTTATATAGAAATTATAATGATTTCAAATAATAAAAATATTATTTTATAGATTTTCAATCTAGATTTAATTGACTCTTATTTAAAAACTTGAAAGTTTGCTTAAAATGAAAGATGTTTTGTTATTATTATTTGAGAGTTTTATTATTATTTACTTTTAAGAGATTCTAAACTTTGAAGACATTTTCATTAAATAAATACAGAAAATCATTACTTTTTATGAAGAACACATTTATAATAAATCACATTTAATTTAATTTTATATTTTTATATAAAATAATTTTTATAAATTGTCAAAAATAGTTTGTATAATATTTAAAAATGGCCTATGCTCCGAATATTTATATCGCACCAACTGCTGACAATATTTTTGGTGGTGAATATATTTACACCCCACCAAAAATTCACCATCAGCGCACACAACACTAAGAGTGTGGTGAGTAGAATATGCGCATATATCGTATTCTTATTGGAAGCTCCTATGGCATAATTACAGCGAGTCTCAGGTAAATTTGGCTTGCCTTAGACTTCTTAAGGACTTATGTGAATCTTGTTCGCAGTTGGACTCCCTCTCTCTCAGGTAACACAACAAGCAGTATTTGAAAGCTGTACAAATAAAATAAACTTGGAGCACCCTGTATAGAGATTTCATCAAAATAAAAATTGACTCTGTAATACAACGTCAGGATTTCACTTCGGACATAAATTACATTACGATCATCTCTCTGTTGTAGCAGAATCGATTGATTGCGATTGAGTTTGGCGTGGAGCGAACCAGTTCCGGCAAAAACCTGTCGCTGGAGCGTACCTTCAACTCGTATTTAGTTCAACTTTAATTGTTTTTTAACCAGCTCTGTCGGCCCCTTCAGCTGCTCCGGGTGCCAAGTTTGTAATTATCGATAGCCCAAGTGAAATTTGATTGATTTTTTGCGAACTTCTTGCCTGCCTGCAGCTCAAGTGCCACATACTTGTTGCAAATGTTTAACGCGTTCTGAATGCGAATTCCAAATTTATGCCTGACCAGCTACATGAAGCAGATTATAAATTTTGCTTATTCAGATTATTTTTTCGGCGAGCTCTTGAATTGAAGTTTGGTTGTTATTGTAGACGATTTGAATTTAAAAATGGAATTCCGCTGAAGGTGTTATGAGTGCTTTGTGCCTTGTGGCTTATCAGCGACTCTTTGAACCCCCAGTTGTGGGCTCTGAGAGGTGCAGCTGATAAGACTTAGGAGTCGGCAGGCTGACGGGTTGACTGGCTGACTGGCTGGCGAGGCAACCTGTGGACTTGGCTCGGCTGGTGGCCTTACTGCTTGAGTTGAGAACGTGCTGTACATAATTACATAATGGCGCTGTTAACTGTAATAAGCGCGACTTCTGCTCAACCGCCCAATGTGCACGCTCAGTGTGTGTCCTGGCAAAAGGATTTTTGCTATTTTCGCAGCTCTTTCAGCTGCTTGGCCATAATTTACTGCGCTGCCAGTTGACTGCCGTTCCTGTTGCACAAATTGCAGCGCACTTTTGTTGCCACTTTGCCGCCAACGTTGTTGCAGCAATTACGGACAACGTTGTCGGCGGCGGAGTCGCTGCTGAGCATCATTAAAACCAAAGGTGACAAAAATTAGTAAACAAAGTGTTGAAAATTATGAGGCAGCTACTGCGCGAGTGCTTCAAGGCGTGTGGCAGCAGCGCATAGACGACAGCGAAAAAGGAGAAGAAGCAGAAGCAGACGAAGAGCTAACTACCAGGTGTAACTGCCACTGGTTGGCTAGGTGGTTTATTTATGAGTCTGTTGAGGTGACTTCAAGCTCAATTTGTGCACCGATTGCACCCTATAAATTGATGAACTGCATCAAATCGGCGTCAAGCAGATTCATTTAATACTTCTACAGCGATTATATTGATTATTTAAAAATTCAATCAATTTCTTAATATTTTGAATATTTAGTGCATAGAATTGTTTTTTTTTTTTTTTGAAAAATATTTTTATAGAATTTTTGTTTGAATTAGGAAATATCAGAAAAGATTAATTTTTACACATTTTATAGAAGATATAAATAAGAAAATTGCTGAAGATATTTTGAGTTAATTTATCTATTTAAAATATATTTGAATTTCTGTTAATAAAATGTCAAATGAACACAGATTTTTTATTTTTTTTTTTTTTGATTCTCTAACATTTTTTGAAGTATTCCATATTAAATTAAAAATTGTATTAAGATGATATGAACAACTTTTTATTTGTAATATTTCTTTCTTATATAATATGATTATATATATTTTTTATATTTTTTTACAATTTTTTTATTTATTTCTTTTTTAAACAAATAAGTTTGAATATGTTTTGCCATAAGTGCAACTAATTTATACTAATAAGTCTGTTTACCCATGTAAACTCAGTTCTGAAACTGTTTTACAAGTATTTACAACTGCTTAGAGAGTGAGAGCAATTAACTAATAATAGTCGCATAATTGTTATTATTATTCTGTGTTCATTCACTTGCCAAGTGGCTGTCCAATGGCGCATCACTTGACCAGCGAAAACAACTATGAAAACACATATGAAAACACAACTGCTACAACAGCAGTAACAACAACAACAACAATAAATAAATAATAAAAATAATTAAAGGCATTCAATTTGAACTGAAACTTAAGATATAGATCAAGTTGATCAAGAGTCGAGACTGCGCTAGACACTCACTTTTGATTGGATCTGCTGTGGACTCACCTGCGATTGCCATCCAGGGGTAGAAGGTGTGATTGCTGGCCTGGTGTAAGCTGCTGGCAGCCGCTGTTTGGGCCGCCGCAGCGCCCGAGATGGTGCAATTGGCATTCCAGGCTGTGGCCGCGCCCACACCGCCGCCCACGCCGCTGGCTGTGTTCTGTGGAACGCCGCCGGCGCTGCCATTGCCGCCGCCGCCGGCACTGCCACCACCGCGATGGCTAACTGGGCTGCCTCCCGATGTGTCCAAGTAGCCGCCGACGCGGGAGTCAGGCGTGCAGGCGGATGGACGAACGGGCATGCCACCGCCGCCAGCATTATTCTGTCCGTTGGCAGCGTTGGGCGCATTGGAGCCGTTGGTGGTGTTGCCAGCGCTGCCACCGCCGCCACCTCCGCCGCCGCCCCCGCCATTGGTGCCGCCCGTGTTCCAAATATCCTTATAGCCATTGACGGTGTCCGCTTTGATGTTGAGGCAGTCCTGTTTGTAGGCGCTGCCAGCATCGCCGTAGATCTTGTTGCAGGCGGCCGTGATGCTCGCATCGTACGGCGAGTCCTGTGTGGTGCGCTGCAGATGGTGGTTGGCATACGGCGACATGCCCAGCGATAGCGGGAAGCCTCTGTAGGCGGCCGCCGCGGCGCTGGCCGTCGTCTGATCGTGATGCCCGCCCGTGCCCATGGCCATGCCCGTTGCCTGGTGCGGATGGCCATAGAAGCCAGAGGCCTGTTCGAAGTAGGAGTTCATGTTGTGGCTGCTGCTGGCGGTGAGAATTTTGGCGGCTAACTGTCAGCAGCTACAGCCGCTACTAAAAGTAACTGCACGCGGTGCACGGCACTCGTATACAAAAACTCAACACTTAGTTGTGCTCCACAGTGGGCATTGCCTAAGCAATACTTGCTTCAATAAGTTTAGTTAATAAGATTCTCTAATTTTGATATATAAAATATTTTGGTTTGCTGTTCTTAAAATGTTTTAACAATATGTATGTATTTTTTTAAATTATTTTTTTTTTTTTTTTATTATTTATTGCACTTTTGCCGGCCGTAGAATTCTAGAAAATATATTTCTTTTTTTTTTTTGTTTAAGATAAAGTTTCGTATACTTGATTTTGGTTTCGTTTTTAATTTTTGTATTTTTTTGTTTTCCAATTGCACGCGTGTTTTATTCACTTGACACTGACACCATAATTTATATAAAAATTTGTGTGTTGTTTTTGAATGGATAAATATTGATTTGAAATATTCGATGTGGCGCCTATTGAATCATTTTGAATTCAATGACTCGTTTAGCATTCACTGCGTTGTCATTATTGTTATAACAAACTATTATTATTACGATTATTATTATTATTATTAGTATTATTGCTGTTATTGTTATTATAATTATTATTGTTATTAGCGACGACAACCGACGACAGCGACGAGCGCGCGCTTCACGTTCAACTGACGCTTCAGCTGAAGATTCAAACTGAAATTCAAATTCAGATACACATGCAGATGCAGATGCAGATGCAGATGCACTGGCCACTGGACTACAGATACGTATGCGAGTGCGTATGCGAATTCAGAGCGCGAGGGCCATACAACATTAAAATTGAGCGTACAATGCCAATAACAATAATGCCGCTGATAATGTGGGATAATAAAACAAAGCGCGCGCCTGTTATCCAAACCGTTGCCATCGAACGAATGTGCCACCAAATCGCAGTTGGTTGTGTTTTGACTGAGACTCAACTAAACTCAACTGAATGGCAACGAGCCGCAAGCAGCGAACGTCGACGGCAACGGCAGCGGCAGCAGCAGCAGCAGCAGCGTTTTGCCTGTAGAGCTCCCCCGATACGCAGCAGCGACAGCGGCTACGGAAGAAGAAGCAGCCAAAACAGAGAGGCGAAACAACTAAATGAATGAGCGAAACTGAAACAGAATGAGCCACAGTCGCCTTACTCACTGCGCTCACCAAGTGATAAGGGCTACTCAAACCAGCGGCTCGCTCCCTCTCTCACCAATGAATCCGACTCACAGCCACAGACGATGCTCGCTCGCGTTCATTCGGCATGTTTGAGTGCGTTCATTCCAACATGTTTGAGCGCTCAGCTCGCTCTGAGTGGAGAATTCATCATTTGCGAGTGTGGAAAACGCGCTCTGGCCGTGGAAATTCATCATGGAGAAGGGCTGATTTTTCTTATAGGCCAGACAGCGCACGTTTGCACTCAAACGATTTTCGCCACTTTTGCACTCAATTTGGTAGCCGCTTGACGCTCGCCAGTTGCCAGTTGTCAGTTGGCCGTTGCACGCAACGCGTTGCAGATACAAATTTACATTCAGATACAGATACAATGTGCTCTTGGCCATAACTTCATGACCATTTGTCCGCAGCACTTTGTGCGATGTTGTTTAGCAAAGAAATTGTAAAAAAATAATAATATATAATACGAAAAATATATAGAAATATATATATGAAAAATTAAACAAATGTAAATAATAGAGAAAAATATCGAATGTTTATTAGAGAATATTTAAATATATATATGTAAATATAAACAAATATATTTTTCTTAATATTTTAAATAGAAAAAAATATAAATATATATTTTTTCCTATCATAGACAATTCTTATGAAAAACATTGCTTTGTTTTAAATGTCTCTGAATCACATAGAAAGCAAAACAAATTGTATTTACTTTTTAAGTTCCGTTTTATTTTTCGTTCAGTCTTAATATAACTTTAACTTAATGCTATGCACTTAATTATATGTAGAAATTAAGCCAATATAAATATGTGGAAGCTAAATATCAATATCTAAACTAAAGAAAACTTACAATACAGATATGAAGCATTTTCTTCATTTTATATTGGAGTTCACCAACTTTATAACAATTGTAGGAATACACATAGACTTATCGGTGTACCTGAGCTGAATGAATATAAATTTATATATAAATAATTTTTGATAATTATTAATAATTACAAATTCATGTTGTATATCAATTGGTTATTAATTAAGGCTAATTTTTGGCTATATTTAAAGTTTTAACTCCTTTGGATGGCCTTATTTTATCAGTTAATTCTTTCTTGTTAATTTCTTTCTCTTTCTTTCAATCAAATTTTTTGTCTAGCCAAAAAAGTCGATCAAGCAACTGGGTTTATCTGAGTTATTTTATTATTATTTAATTATTTATTATTATTTAAATATTTACTTGTTTCCTAAATTATATATTTTGGGAATGGATAAGGATATTATAAAATTCGTTTAATAATTTGATTTTCTGTCTACCTTAGCTTATGTTACTTTGCTTTTTATTAAAAACATATATATTTAAGTAATGAATTTCCTTATTTCTTGACTATATGCACTTGGATTCGTATGACTCAGGCAACTATTCTATTATTCCACCTGCATTTGTATCATTTAAAATTCAATTGTTTTATTTTGGGGTTTGTGCAATATTGTAAAAGCTTTTTGAATGTCAATTTTATAGTTCTGGTAAGTCGAACGATGTGTTTAAAGAGTGTTTTTTGAATAGTAATGCGCAATGGAGCTTAATTTTAATTGAATTATTATTATTATTCTATTTAGCTTTTTATAGCTTATTCACAGGTAGTTACCATTTCTTATATAGCTTGAATCTCAAAATAAAGTATCAATGCAGTTTGCTAAATACCGATTGACGTCAACATAAATTGTTGCCCATACAAATATATATATATATATGTGTGTGTGCATTCATATTTGAGATGTGTTATTAATGCGTCTCCAAATTGATGCTAATAAATTCATACGCATAATGCAAAGAGATCGGCGTTCGGCTCGTAGTTCGCGCAGTTGCGCAAAACTTTTGCAAATATTTGTCAAAGTTTGCACATTCGCACAAACGGCTCGTAGATTAGAGGCGAACAAACAAAGTTGCTTGCCACAAGTGTTTGCAAAATAAACTTATTATAAGAAGAAATTTACTTTTGTGCAACCTCCCTAGCATCCCGGCAGCTCAGTCAGTCGCAGTCGTCGCTCGCATTCGTTGCCAAGTCTCTAAAATCAACAACATGCGAAAAAGATACAAAAACTTGCACACACAGCGCACGGATGTCCCCACACACACGCAGACAGACGGCGACATTTTGCCAACAGCAAAAGCAACAACAAGCTGCACAGTAACAAGAGCGGAAAGCCAAGCAAAAAAGCCAAAGCCAAAGCAAAGCAAAGCAAACCAAACGAAACGAAACGACAGCCAAAAGTAAAAATCGCAGTCGCAACTGCAAACTAAATATCGTGAGTCCTTGTGGCAGCACCAGCAGCAGCAGCAGCAGCAGTCAAGCAGGACTCCGAGGCCAGGGACAGACAGCGAATAGCCTCATAACCATTTGAAGCCATTCGAAGGCGCATAAAAGGATCACAACAATCGCCGAAATGAGCCATAATGAGCTCGTAAAAATTTTGCTACCTAATATACTCAGGAATCTTACGAGTATATTCAAACTTGGTTCGTTATGTGGCTCGATTGTTGTTGTTGTTGTAGCTGTTGTCGGGATGTGGCTGCTGTTGCTCTGAATCGATGATTGTTGTTGTGGCGGGCTCCCTGCTTGGGCGCCAGTTGGTTGCACAATTGGTTATGTAAGTATTATCGAGCCATGATTGTCTTAAGAGTTCATCAAAATAAACACTTCAATTGATGTACTTAAAAATAGGTTAGCTGCGCTTTCTATAAAACCAAAATAAATTTAAATTCAAAACTTTTTATCAAATATATCAAATATTTAATTCAGAGCTCCAAAACAATTCCTTTAATTAACTCTCTCTGCCCCAAATTACTTTGCCTATCTTCAGCTTCCTTTTCACTGCTGCTTTTATAAAAATACCTTATGTTCCCTACTAAATAAAACTATATATTTTATAGGTCGATCTGTATATGAAGTCAACATTAATCAACCGTGATAGTGAATACTAAATTTGATGATTGATGAATATATATTAAAAAATTCAAGAACTAAGCACCATATACATAGACTTATAATTTGACTTATGCCGAGTATAGTAATGATTTGATCAAAATTAGCGACTTGTAGACTTGACTCAGTGGGCCTGGAAATATAGTTTTTGGGCAATCACAGATTGAGCTTAACAGTAAACAGTAAAAACGCATACCTTAACAAGAGTGGTAAAGGTAAAGTTATTAGTATATACTTCAACTACCAAATCATTCAATGGAATATAAATAATATTATACAAAATAAGTTGATTACAAGTTTTTTAGCTTATTATATTCCAATGAATATTTAAATTAAAAAAAATTAATCATTTAAATAAATACCATAGTATTATTTCCATTAGCTCGTGGGTTAAATATCATTATTGAATGATGGTACTTTGCAGCTCATCTAAGCCAGTGCTAATCAATGTGCAGTCAGCGGGAGTCCACTTGAGGTAAGTTTAGGGCCCATTGCAATGGCAATGCATCAAATGCGCCTCGTTCTTGGCCCATAAAAATGTCGACGGCGGCGGCTTCAAAGGCAATAGTAAATGTATTGAGTTTTTGAATAACTGAAGGATTGTTGGCATAAATCTGTAAGGCGGCGATAACAGCGCCCTTCAAAACAGCCAACAGGTGCCGAGACAAGCGCCAGCATCCGAAATTCCAAGTCTCTTAATAGACAGAGGCACACATAAACAAGGGCAAAGCGATCCGGCGATCGAGTGTTTTGTACTTGCTAGGAAATGTTTTTGTTTTGTGTTTTTGTTGTAAATAAACCTCCGCACATTTGGCGTTTGATGTTAGGGTGGTGCCGAGTGGGGCAACGGTGGGGCTGCTCGCCTTTTGATGTTTTGTTTGCGTTGGCAGTGGCGTCAGCTGCCAAATTGCTGCTTTATTAGCTGCGTAAGTGGCAGCCGCAGCACAGCACAGCACAGCCGAGCCCCACCCACTTGCCAGGCACAGATGCAGATACATTTGGCCATAGCTACAGAGACAGATACAGATA